GACTAGAGAACTGACAGACTAACAAAAGAGATCCGGTTTTGGTCATCACGGTCATGTTCAACTCTCTTTTGCTTTTGTTTTTCTTTCCTTTAGGTTTGTAGTTTATTAAAAAAAAATGAAATGCCTGATACTTACATGATTCTATATTGTTGTCATGGGGTGTAATGGAAACAAAAAGCCTTTTGTAGCTCTCCTTTTTTTTCCTAGTTTATTTTCATGTATTATGCTTAGGATGTATCATATGCTGGAATTTAAGCTTATCTTATTATATCTTTTGCCTCGTGTTCTCAGTGATTGCATGACAAATAATGACTAAAAGCAAAGAATGTACATAAAGTTGAAGTGAACAGTAAAGCGTAATGATGCTTTAACGCGGTTGTGTAACTTTTTCTAGCTCAGCCTTATCCGTTCCCTTGGTTGTTTGATGCATTTAGAGCAAGTCCAGCAAGCTCCCAGTTAGGAGTCCTAGTCATCAAGCTCTCAAGAGCTCTCAAGCATTTTGGTATAAAAAATTATAAAAATAGGCCTTGGGAGCATCTCCTTATTTTATGGAGCTCCAACAAGCTCCTAGTTAGGAGCTCCAACAATATCAAAAAAACCCCTCTTCTATTTTGATATTTTACCCATTACTTTTAATTATATTTAAACCACTTGTATTTTATTTCTAACCGTTGGATACGGTCTTCGAGGGAGCGCACATGGTCTTCGAGCTAGCCCGCGGCTTTCGAGGGTATGCACACGGTCTTCGAGGTAACGCACACGGTCTTCGAGGTAACTCGCGGTCTTCGAGGAAACGCACACGGTCTTCGAGGTAGCTCACGGTCTTCGAGGTTGGGCACGAACTTCGAGGTATCGCAAACTTTGACCGTCAACCGACTGATTCCTATAAAATTCGATGCCTTCTCACCTCAACCCATCGTCTCCCAGAACAAAATGTCTAGCTCATCTAGCTCTAGCGATGATGAAATGATGAAGACGTTCTTTCTTATGGGAGCTGCTGTCGTCGAGGAAGAAGAACAAGGGAAAGATTCAACTTCAGTTCAATACAAAAGACGTATCGTGTTCCACTGATACCGACTGGAAGGCCACAATCGGTTGTTCCAAGATTATTTTGCTGACACACCAACATATCCTCTTCATTATTTTCGTCGAAGATTCAGAATGTCGCGTTCGTTATTCCTTCGAATCCACGACGCAGTCGTCGAACATGACAAGTATTTCGTCCAAAAGAGGGATGGTGCTGGACAGTTAGGACTATCTAGTCTTCAAAAGATTACTGCAGCTCTGCGGATGCTCGCATATGGAGCATCCGCTGATACCGTTGATCGGTAAAAGTACGTCGCTTGAGAGCGTGAAGAGGTTCGTTCGATCGATTATCAACATCTTTGGGGAGGAATACCTTCGTTCACCGACTAATGAAGACGTTGCACGCCTGCTCGAGGAGGGTTCACAACGAGGTTTTCCTGGTATGCTTGGGAGCATTGACTGCATGCACTGGGTATGGAAGAACTGTCCAACCGCCTGGCAAGGTATGTATACTGGGCATTTTCATGAACCTACAATTATTTTGGAGGCCGTAGCTAGCAAAGATATTTGGATATGGCATGCCTTCTTTGGATTGCCGGGGTCTCACAATGACCTCAACGTGCTACATCGTTCTCCGGTTTTTGCACAACTTGCGGAGGGAAGAGCTTCACCGTGCAACTATACTGTTAATGGTCACGAGTACAATATGGGATACTATCTCGCCGACGGGATTTACCCAGAGTGGTCCACATTAGTGAAGACTATTCCAGCACCGCGAGGAAACAAGCATAAATACTTTGCTCAACAACAAGAGAGCGCAAGAAAAGATGTTGAGCGAGCTTTTGGCGTGTTGCAAGCTCGATTTGCGATTGTTCGTGGACCAGGACGTTTCTGGCAACCTAGTGTGCTGAAAGACATCATGACAGCTTGCATCATAATGCATAACATGATCGTTGAAGATGAACGAGATTGTCAATTGGACAACAACTTCGACTTTAATGATTCGATACCAGTCGTTGAACCTTCTCATGTGCAGACGGTGCCTCTAACTGAGTTCATCCAAAATCATCATCGAATCAGGAACACGCAAACACACAAATCACTAAAGAATGATTTGATCGAGCATCTGTGGCAGCTCAAGGGATCCATCGACGAATCGACGAGGATTAAGTTTCTAATGTAATTTCAGCAAAGAAGTTCGAGTTGTTGTACTACGCCAATTTTCTTTTCAATGAAGTAGTTGTTTTCATTAAATGCCAAAATTTTTCAACTTCAAGTAGAATCGTAAATCTAATACAAGATAATTAAGAAGAGCTAATTAGGATGCGATGCGAGTACAATCATAAATCTAATACAAGATAATTAGGAAGAGCTAATTAGGATGCGATGCGAGTACAATCATAAATCTAATACAAGATAATATATGATAATTAGACAGAACCCTTAGACATCCACCTCTCCAATATCTCTGCCTGACGCATTTCAAAGTATTATCGTTGAACTGAATTGAGTGTTGAGAGATCCATCTTCATGATATCGTCATCTTGTTTCTTCTGTTTTAGCTCTATTTTTTGATTGGTGGTTTGCTTCATCCACGCGAAAGCCTCTCCCATGATGGACGTAGCGGATCCAGAGCTTTCCACATTTTGTTTCCTCTTGAGCTTTGCCGCTTTCCTCCCTTCAGGCCTTGCTACCACATCATCCGAGTCAGTGTTCAACCCGATGGGGGTCGTTGGCATGGAATTGTTTGGTGAGGAATCAGAGGTAGCGATTCTTCTCGGCTGTGATCAAATCTTATTGTAAGATTCTATTTGTTGGATCCACTTTTGATGATGACGCAACTCAACCCAGCAATGATCAAACACGAATGACTTACCATAAAGAGATTGATATAATTCTTTTACTTTTGCAGTCTACACAAGAGTTAATTTTAGAATAATCAAACATAATTAAACATATTGAATCTGAGCAAAAATAATCAAACATAATTAAATATTTACCTGGTCAATAATTCCCGTACCAGATCTTTGTCTTCCTTCAATCTGAGCAACGCACCCACAAAACTTGTTGACGGACAATTGAATCGTTGACCAACGATGCATCATTTAGTTTGGCGTGCGGCTCGTTGGATCGGTGGAGTATAGGATAAAATAGTCGTTAGCTCGGTGTCAAAACTTATCTTTGTGTTGCCCCGTACCTGGGATGGCGTCTTGGCTCGTGTTCAGCCAAGCAGACACAAGAAGCTTATCCTCGTGGACAGTCCAATTTTCGGACCGCGTGTAAGCCTTCTTCTTCTTTGTGGTCGGTGTTTCTTGGGATGACACTTGTTGTGTTGCCGATTGCGAGAACTCAATAGGGTGACCTTCTTCTACGCCTTCTGTATAGAAGTGCGAATAATAGTTTTGTGAGGGATCCATGAGATTTGTAATTTGATAGGGAAATATAGATTTTTTTTTGAGAGAGTTGTGTGGAATGATTTTTGTATTGAAGTAAAACGAATTTATAGAAGATTTTTTACAACGGTAACTTTTTCAACGGCTTCATTTTTAACGGCTGAATTCTGGAGAGGAGCTTGTGTCCGTGTTTCATACAACGGTAAAATTTCCAACTCAAGAGGTAAAAATCACAACAGTAAAATTCACAACTCAGGCAATTAAAAAAAATCCCAAATCAAAACACCAAATCCCAACCTCAAACAACGCACCCAAATAAAAAAAACACTACATCTTCTCCCAAATCCCAACCTCAAACAGCGCACCCAGATAAAAAAAACAAAGAACTCTTCATCTTCTCCCCAAATCCGATACCCAAATCCCACCCCTTGGACAACCTCAAACAGTCGGAGGCCAACCCCACCCCTTCGACAGTCGGAGGCACCCCAGCCACCCCTTCGACAGTCGGAGGCCTCTTCGCCAGCCACCCCTTCGACAGTCAGCCACGACAACCACGACCTCCTCTTCGCCTCGCGTTCCTCTTCGGCTACGACGATCCACAAATTTGTGGAGCGTTTGGGAGCTCTGAAGGATTCGACATCCACGTAGGAACGGAGAGCCTAGTTGGGAGCGGCTTCAGAGCTTGCTGGAGGGGGGTTTGGCAAGAACCATCGCCACATCAGCCTTCAGAGCAGAGTTCGGAGCTTGCTGGACTTGCTCTTAATGTCATAGAAAAGAGAGTCATTAAGCTAATTTTAAGCTAATAAGATCAGTTTAAGTGCCAATGTATATATATCTGTGTGTGTGAGCATGTGATCGAAGTGTGCCATAATGTTTAGTATTTGGCTTTCAGAGTGAGCCTGTAAATAGATGTAGAGTTGTTAATGAAACCTCAAATACTCTCTGTGCGTGAACATCATATCCAACCATATATAACATGAACAAGATTTTATACAACTAAGCAAATATATAGCTTGTAGTGTACAATATTTAGCAGCAATATTGATTAGAAAAAGATCTTGCACTTCACCATTAGCAGCTAGCTAGCTAGCTAGCTAATTACATGAAAAACTTACATCACGTATATTTTTTTGAACCTGAGAAACAGGGTGTAAAGCCCTGTTCATTTAATATATAGCAAAAGTATCAACATAGAGGTTACAACTTCTCTAGATGGGTGAGAGCACTGTAGGTGAAGTGGGTAGGGAGCGGACCGATGTCGTCACCTACCACACTTAACCTACAAACCCCCACATCTAGATATAAACACTACAAACAGAACAACCGAATTTAACAACCACATTTAGTTCAACAAGACTGGACAAAGCTTTAAACTTCTAATTCTAACCAAAATAAAGGGAGACTTCTTAACTGGGCAAGCTTCAACTTCTTCTTGAAACTTGGGACGAGGGTGCTTAGTTGCTGGCACTGTTGTCCCCATCCCCTGGAGAGGGATTCTTCTTAGCTAGCTCCTGCAGACCGAGGTTGAGAGATGTCCGTCGTAGCCTCCTTGCCGTCCTATCATCTACAGAACCTGACCAAAAAATGGAAAACCTCGCTATGTTAGAGGCTGTGAGCATCGGATTAGGCTGAATGTCCTTGAAAATGAGTGAGTTTCTGCAAAACCAGATCCACCAACAAAAACACGGCATTAGTAACTTCCAAATTGCTTTAATGTCTGAGCAAATATTTGGGGCTTTGTTGAGCAACAGCAGGTCTTCCAAGTTTAATGGCCAGTTGTTTGCTGAAAAGGAGGGGAGAAGGTACTTCCAAACCTCTTTCGCAAATGGGCAGTGGATGAAAATATGGTCATGAGTTTCATTTTCCTCAAGACAAAGAGAGCAGAGAGGGTCACCTGACCAGCCTTTTTTGATTAAATTGTCTTTAGTGTTGAGTTTCTTTTTTGAGATAATCCAACATACATATATAGCATGCAAGAATACCGATCTTGCCTGAAAATCCTAACTTTCCAGCCAGTAGTTCACTAAACAACATCTTGATCATGGAGCAACAGAAAGCTCAAACATTGAACAAATCATCCTAGCTCCAAAACAATTAATTAGGAGCAACCCGTCAAAATTTTCAAATGCCACATCATTCCACTTGGAAATTTCTAAAGTTTGTACGTGCACGGTGCACATAACCACTTTTAAATGTACGTCTTCTTGTCTCCAAAGTGGAGGACTTCCGCAAAGTTCATGGATTTGGTTTGAAATTCTCTCTTAATTACATTAATGCTTCTAAGATCCTATGTATTGAATAATGAATATGATAGTCGCTTCAATTAAAGATCTGTTTGCTCATAATAAGTCAACAATATTCGGCAGTTTATTGTTTCTTGATGTCTTGGATTTGCTTAGGTCCATACATAAACTGTCCTTAACTAATCATGTTTTCTTTCAATTGATTCCGATCTTCTCTTTGTCGTTCTAGGCTTAAAATGATGATTATTTTATTAATTAATAAACCATCCACGTCTTGAATTGTGACACTTAATTGAAGCATAAAGCTATTAGGAACAAGAACGAGTATACACTATAAAATAAAGGTTTTTTTTTTTTACTCACGTTTGTTTAATTGTGTCAATGACAACAGAAAAGCATAAGATATCAAGTCCAAAATTTCAAAGGAAAAGGAGAATGACCAATTTCTCTAGCTGGTTGGGAAAGTAGGTAAGTTAAGAATGTCATATGATTAAGTCATTTTTTCTTTACTTAGTTGTATGTATCCTTCTTTAGGCAGTAAAGGGCAATTAAAAAGTAAGAGAGTGATAAGGACTCCATTCCCTCAATACGCAAGCTGGAGTTATTTGAAAGGACATTGGCGCAAACTCCAAAATTCTTAAAATGAGAAATTTAGTAGGCAACATATATAACATTGTTTTCACCATAAGTTCAATTTTGACCTAAGACTAGAAATTAGCACATCCCCCAACTCCAATCAAATTCAAATGGTCTCCTATTATACATCACGCCCAGCCCTTTAAGTGGTCCCTCTTCTTTTGACCACACACAAAAGGATCTAGTCAAAACAATGAGCAAATGCATGCTTCCCTTTAAGTACGGACTAGCAAGTATGAATTTTAATGCGCATATTATTATTAATTGGAAAATGATTTAAGGACCCAAAATATGGGACCAAGGGGGGGAAAAGGTGAGGTGTCCCCTCCCTATTGCATAATGAGTTGGCATGCCAACTCATGCCAACTCATTATCCAATAGGGTGGGGACACCTCACATGTCCCCTCCCTTGGTCCCATATTTTGGGTCCTCGTAGCAACACTCGATTTTAATAGTAATTAATTTGTGCATTATTATGTATTAATTACTTGTATCTTTCTCTACACATATCCATCTAAATGATTTTCTATAGAGGGCATACATACGTAGGATCTTTTTCCCAATCAGCTCGCTGTTTTTTTGCTCACGTGTTTCTTCCGTATCCCTCTCTTGTCTCTCCCTAGAAGATGCTCAGTGGCTCTCCACATCAAAGAGAAGAAAGGGACAAAATGGATCATAAATCAAATCAATCAAAAAATAATCTCCGTGAAGAACCAAACACTATTAAATTCCATGCACAAGGGACACCCTGCACTTGCTGTATTTGTGTGAAACTCTTTCGGCGCTTGTTTGCAAGAGTTTGACTGGGATTTGACCAGAGTTGAGTGATAAATAAGTATGTACATTATTTTTATCCTAAACTATACCATCAGAGATGCTAAGTGTTGGTTAATAAGATGACAGTGAATTAC